ACTGTTTTCATACTTGGGTGATAAGCAACCTAGCGCATAAATCTTATGTTGCTGAATTTTGCCGATCCACTTCCTTTAAATGTGTTTCATCCTGATTGAAATCAAAGAAAGGTTTATTGGGCACCACAATAAAACAAAAAGCTTTTTAATTACCTATACATCAGGCGGTTACATAAATCTTGTTACACTTGAACTTCTTATGAGAATAAATCACACACTTCGTATCTTCAAGAGGGCTGTAGGGTTATATTCATAGAGCTCTGCAAGCTCTAAAAGATGGGGTGCAAAAGTTCGCACCAGCTTCGACCCACCTTAAGTTTGCATTCAAAATCTGAGCCATACTGAAGGTTCATGAAGGGAAATAAGGAAGCTAGAGTCGGTAATTTATGAAAACCAGTGAATCTTGAAAGCTATAAATTCATTGTTAACCTTTGAAGGCTGTGGTATACAATTGCATGAGCGAAAGCTTCATAGTTTCACTTTGTGAAGGCACGCAGTTTTCATTCTCTCGATTCTCAGATAAAGAAGAATTACAGCAACGGTACATATTTGAGTCTGGGAGATCCGTGGTTTTTTTTTGAACAAAGCCAAGAATTTTCAAATTTTCTTATTCAATACAACTCGATTCTGCATGCAAACTTGTGGTAGGTCGAAGCTGCTGCGAGTTTTGCACACCATCTTGTAAGCTTGCTTTACTCTATCGAATAGTCTGAAACACTATTTGAAATATGAATGTACGCCTTGAAGACGGTGGTTTGGCAAATCTTAGCCTAGTCTGATCCCGAAAATGCACTTTAGACAGCTTGAAAACGGCGAAAACGAGCGTTCCCCAACGCCCTTCGCTTGGAAGTTGGAGTGGAGTAAGATTGATGACGTCGCTGACGTGCAGCCTTCAACGGCGAGAGCGGAGTGCCAACTCGCACGAGCGCGTGTAATATTGGCTTGCGCGTGTAAGTTTGAGTGCAATTTTCTCGGCAAGAACGGCAAACTGTGCGACCGAGATTGCGCTGTTTTCATAATTGGGCGACAAGCAAAACATCGCGTCAAAATTTTAAGCTGTTGAACTTTGTCGATCTACTGTCAAACTTGAAGTAACTCGAAGACTATGTGACAACCTAATTCAAACTCTTCCAAGCATTAGTGAATTTTCTTTTCGGCTCTCTGCAGATCCTAGTCTTCGAAACGACAGAATTTTGGAAAGAGGGCTGAACTTGTATTTTTTGAAAACTAAATTTTATATCAGGCTGGAAATTTAGTATTATGTTTGCAAAGGTGTGCAGACCTTTGCGGTGAGAACTACCCGCCTTTATTTAACAAAAGATTCTTGTGTTCTGTCCTAAGCATGGAAACCATACAGCAAGTATGGAATGTTTGAAAGAGTAGATGCACGCGCCAATTGAGAGGTTTGCAAGATTTTTTTGAGCAGAAACACAATTACTTTTAGTTTTTCAAACCTGAATTTTCAATCGCTGGTTTCAATTTTTACGTGGATCAAGTTAGATGCATCTTATGATAGCCATCTTGTACAGCTTGCTTTGCTCTATCAATTAGTAAACCAGATACAGAGCGTCCGAAAATATGTGCCTACTGTTTGATTGTTAATAACTCCTTTGTCACGAGGTCTTTCAAGAAGATTTATGTACCATTGTGTAGTGCTGGGTTCAACTTAGATTTACAGTGTGGGTCCCGGATCCCTCTTTATCACTGTAGTTACGGTAGGAACTCGTAGCATATGGCGGCGCTCTGAAAGAGACCATTCGAAAAAAATTAAAAAATCTGAAAACTGTGAAAGGCATAGACAAGGCAAGGCAAGGTTTTTAGGCATACTGATTATACTACATAACTTCTCGCGCGTTTGCAGAGCTTTCTGAATGGCGTAATAAATTTTTGGCAAAGTTTATCTGGCATAACTTATGGGAAAAACTTTACAGTGAAGGCAGCTAATTTCGTATTTGAAACTAGCAATTCTGATTTACCTGGTGCAGAGAATTTCAGCTTCCTCATGTCTTTTTCAGGGGTAGAGTCCCTCAATCACGAAAAACCTTCCTCAAAGTTCCTACCGTAATCACAGCAATGAAAAGAGAACGGTAACTCACTCCATACTATTATACAAATCCAAGTTCAAGCCAGCTCTACAAAATGGTACCTAAAGCTTATCGAAAAAAAAGAGTATTAACGACCAAACAGTAAGCACATTTTTTTGGGACGCTCTGTATTATACTGATGCCTACCGTGCTAGAAGCACATAGTAACACAAAATGCTACAGTTTTTCTTTTCAACTTAATACTATCTATAATTTTTATTTGCCCTTGGAGTCCATCGGTGAAAAATTAAAGAGTAATAAACCTACCTGTGTGAAGGATTCAATTGGTGTGCCCACGTGTTTCTGTCTAAAATAGACTTGCAAACCAGGACCTTCTTCAGTGCGTATGACTTTCCACCATGACGTCACAGCCTAAATCACTATTTCTGAATAAGCAATCTGATTCCTTGATTTCTTACCTTTTGAGTGGCAGCCAAGAATGTCGCCAAACCTTCTTTAGGAATGCGAACGAAATTTTCTCCCACATCAGGACGTGAAGATTCAGCTGACTTGGATGTCGGACATGCACTTGCATAATTAATGACCTTCCTTTCCAAAGAGCAATCATATCTCTAAATAGAAATAGAATCTATCAGAAGCTGCATGTTGTTTGAAAAAGCAGGACAACCATTCTTTGCATGTCGCATGACTGAGGCAGGAAGTTGCCGTTCCTCTTGGCAACATTTCCTTTAGCGAGCAGCGCTCTGAATGTAAGCAAATGCTATTAAAACGTAAAGTCGAACTGTAAAAAAGTAAGTGATTGATCAACCTGCGATAGTTGTGCATATCCAAGAACTTGAATCTGATCTCATCGTTCATTTCATAATTGCTGGGACATCTCACGTTGGAGTCTAAATTGAAACAAAACTTTGAAGAGAAACTAAAGTCTGAAAAATGTTTCACAGAAAAATTTACTTTGTCTCAAGACATACAATTAGTACTTGCGTTTTAACTTGCAGTTTGTCGCACTGTTTTTTATGCTATTGGACAGGTGTCCAAAAGTAAGTTATTATATTACCATTCAACAGATTAGGTTTGACCAAATGGTTTATGGTTGGTTGGTTCGGTGGTGGTGATCATGGTTTTTTTTGACCATCTTCACAGTTCCTAATTTCATACAGTAGCGAAGAGTGTTGGGTGGTTCCATACTACAAGTGTAAACTAAAGCCTGCTCTACTGAATGGTAACTGATGCACAAAAGAATTAGTGGTAAAAGAGCTATTAAAGGCACCGTCCACCCTAAGTTGGGGATCTCGAGCTTTTGGCAGCATATGATAGTAGAGCCTCCTATAGAG